AGACAATGATGCTTCTTGTATTCATATATATTATATATATTTTCACGCATTTACAGATCGTTCTTTCCCACTTATGCCTCTATATAATCCAATTGTGTTTTATTGAAATAGAATAATATTTGTTATGTTTATGCCATTTAATTCTGCCAGTAGGCAGTTTTAACACGTTTGTTGTTGCATGTTGAAAATTCTTTCTGACTATCAAAACTAATTATATCAATTAGGTTTGGCCTTATGAAGAAAGTGATGAATCTGGATTTATTCAAGCGCTCTTCGGGATGATGCATGCTCTTTTCTCCCGGGATCCAAACATTTTCATTTCTTCCGGCCGATCAGAGGTCATCAAAGTTTTCATATAGGTGACATTAAATTAAAAATATAACTTCTGGGTTTCATTAAAAAGTAGATGTTCTTCTACATGTGTTTTCAGGTTCAGCAGAAAGCTGATGTTACCATAGCTCACCTCTGCTTTAGTTTGAGCTCGTATCTCTATTTTCTTGTTACCAAGAAGTCTCTAAGGCTGCGTGTAAGTAAATCTCTAACCTGATATGTTGCTGTTGTACTTTTTTCCTGTTGGAAAATATGGATTGTTAAATTGATGAAAGAACAACTGCTGCACTTCTTATAGGTTTCAGATGGCGCCGTGGACAATGAAGAATCTACTATGCTAAAGCAGCCCACACTGCTTTTGCTTGTTGTTTTCCTTGGTTCTGTGGCAACTGGATTGGAAAAAGCTGCTGAAGAAAAATATTTACTTCTCAACAAGGTCCATAATATGATTTATGTGCATTTGTTCTATTGATTTAACTTCACAGTTGAATTAAAAGCCTCTTTTGTGCTTCTAGATTAAGGATATCAATGAGTTATCAAGGCAAGAAGTTGATGAAATCCTCAATTTGTATGTATCTCAAGATATCACTTCAACTTCTGGAAATATCCAACACAGGTATTCCTCTCTCTCTCTCTCTCTCTCTCTCTCTCTCTCTCTTCAAACAATGCGGGTCTCATGTCTTAGTGGATGGATGTAACTGAGACTTCATACCAACAAAAATAATTTGGAACAGTCATCATACTAATTAAGGACGAAACTACTGTAGCACATTTTGAAGCAGATTTTGTTTATGCATGTTATTTAGGTTGACATGAATATTCTTGTTTTTTGAAACCTGAAAGCATTAAAGATACCCATCTAAAAATGAAACATACCTATCCATAGCTATTGCGAATAAAGATCTTAGAGGCTGTTTCAGTCGTGAATGCATTTCTCTTTGGTTGATCTCCTATTGCCAGAAGCTTTAACGTCTGTCGAGTTAACTAGAAAAGGAAGTGGTGTACATCTCATGCTAAACTTAAACTGATATGTGAATCTGTTCTTTTTTTTTTTTTTTTATTTCTTTTTTTTTTTTATTTCTTTTTTCACTGTTTAGGAGATGTAATGCCATGGTGGCCATGTGCTGGTTTGTCGGACACTGGAATCGGCTTATCATGCTATTGCTTCTACTCGCACAAAATCTGATGAACATTATCCTTACTCATTTCCATGATAGGTATAGCCTACTTATACTACCATTCAGTATGGCAAAATTAACTATAATCTGACTGGCGTGCTTTTTCCCTTAGTTCATATGCATATGGTAGCAGTCAGTCTCTGAAAGTGATCACATATGACGGCTCACTCAACGCGAAAGAGGATTTACCTTCACTTTGTGGAGAATTGATTCCGATTCTTGAAAGGCTTGAAATTGTCAGCGAGGTATGCTGCTTTATTTTACTTAATAACCTGAGAAAACTTTGGATTTTGTTCTCGCCTTCTCTAGTTGTGTGCCAATGTCCATTGTGTGGATTTAGCTATGTTGTATTTGTAAATATTAATTACATATTATTTACTAGTACTAGGGTGAGGTGGGTGCAATTACTTGGTATTGATATTTGCATCAGTTGAAAATTCTGTTAGCAGCTACAACTGAATATTAATGAAAATTGAACCCCTTTTTGCAGTTATACTGGTTGCATAGATGGATTTGAACCTAAAGAGTTCAAATTCCTGCAAAAGTATATACTGGCCGTGTTAAAAATAATTTTAAATTATTTGCCTTCGATGTGAGCCCTGATTAAATCAGTGCAGAAAATTTTAAATACACCAAATATGTACTCATTCAAAATTCTTTCGATTAGTCCACCTTTCGAAGTTAAGTATTCTTCAATGTTCCCATCTATATTTCATTAAGTTTGTCACTTAGAAAATTAATACAATAAATCTATTATACTATTTTTGAAAATAAATGAACACTTTTATTCCTATGTATACAAGAGTCGGAGTCCTTTGTTATTATAAAGTAGTAAAGCATATACATTTTGTTACTTTTTATTTTTACTTTTTTTAGACAGCTGTCTCTGATAGTTTAGGTTTCTGCATATACTATACACTGCTGCACATCTATATGTGATACGGGTGCTCATGCTTAGTGCTTATTAATATCGGGATGTCAATTATTATGAGATTAATGGAGCACTGTTCCATTTACTTGGATGAAATCACTATTACTACATTTCAACCTAATTTTGGTTTATTGTTTGAATCAAACCCTTCTCCATTTTATTAGATTGTAACACCGAGTCTGAGTTTCATTGTGAACTATATGCTGCCTGTTTGTCACCCCAATTCATGGTGTTTACATCTTTTTTCTCTAATATTTAAAAATCATTTCAATATAATGTGAAGAAGCCATGTAGATGTTGTGAGCAACTGCTGGAAGTGCATATGACTATAGTTATGAGTACCATGGAACAGTACAGTAGTGGAGATTATGATTTTTTCTGTTTTCATATATAATATCTTTCACCACAAAGGTTGAAAATAACTTCTTTTGAACAATCTTACTATTGTGATAGTAATCTGGCGTATTATTATGACGGCTGGTTTCTGGGTTCCATCCTGAAGCAATCCTTCATCCCATCGTCAGAGTTCTTTTTTTTTCTTCTTTTCTTTCTCTTTCTTTCTTTTCTGATGAATAACCAAGAATGCAGAAGATATATTCTTAACTCTTGGCCTTTGGAAAATGTTTGCTAACATCCTAAATTCATATTGGGAATTAATGCTTAACCAGTACAATGTTGCCATGTTGATTAAATATTATGAATAAAAGATTTATACTTTAGATTTTCAAATATTTCTTTAAAAGTTACATTGTTATTTGTAAATAAAATAACATCCTTCTATTAATAGCCCAATAATATTAAATTAAAACTTGATGGATAGTATTTTTATTAATTTTCATTAACATTGATAGATATATTTAATTTTTACATTTATAATTTGGTATAATTATTTTTTAATTTTATATACGTAATATAGATGTCAAATCAAAGATGGTAATATGATTAATTTGATGCATCATCCATAAAAACAGAATAGATAAAAAAAAGTTTTTACATTTTAAAACATATTTATGTTAACAAAATGTTTTATGATTTTAAATCTTCAATTATGCATGACTATAACTTCAAAATTACATGGAATATTTCGAACCATAAAAATTGATACATAGGACACCCAAAACACAAATGAATGATACATAGGATTATGAAGTTGGACTTAGATGCAGACCTTTTTGGTGTAACTTCGAAATCGACAAGGATTATTTGTTATAATTGCCATGAGTGATTGCATTTAAAATCAAGATATTAAATAATGAAAAGTAGAAGAAAATAAAGAAAAAAAATAGGTCATGGTCTGATGAATTCTTTAATCTTATATTTAAGTAAAAGTCCAGGAGACTAAAAATTTACTCATGTGACTTCTAATGTAATAGTATGGACGAATAGTGTATTTTTTTCTAAGCCCTTGTTATGGCAATTGACACTGCGCTGAAGCTATATGCAGGAAAATGAAACATTACACAATGCATACTATATAATTTCTGAGCACCACTGCTATCATTTTTGGTTTGTGATTAATTTTTTCACTTTTTATGTGAGTCTGATCTAACGACTTTGAAGTTTTTGAAGGATGGTGGCTGGATTTCAACCTGCCACCTTCCGCTACTTGTAGCATTGACACCACTCACAAATTTTTATGTTGCCTATATTATATGTAATGTTCTCCGTAAATGTTTATTGTTAGGTGTTTGATTTGCAGGATAAAACAGGTCACAATCTTAAAGTCTTCCGTAGGCTAGCTCGATCTCTTAAGGAACTCTCATTTCAGAAACTTGGGGCTTGAATGAGTTGCTGTGTTGAAACGAACTACAATGTTAACTCATGTTGCCTAATGTTCTGAGTGTTTAGAAATTCAAAAGTGTATGTATATTTGTTTCTCCATGACATGGACATGTAAAGAGTTTGGATTCCAGTTTTCTAGTGTTTCATCCTTCTTCTCTGCTGCAGTCTTGGGAGGCGGCTGGTGAGATATTTTGTTGCCGCACCTGAGTTTAAGCCGAGACAGCCGTGTAATTCCCAATCACAATTGGCAGTATATTTATTTGGCCAAACGATAAGATTTTTAAATTTTTTTCCAGCGGTTACACAAGTTTCCAAACCTATATTGGTATGATCTATTCCACATATATGAGATTATAGGATTAGGTGTAAAATTTATTATTATCCGAAAGGTAGCTTCTCTTAAATATATTCTTGATAGTCGGAAGCGAGGTGTCTGCAGTGATCATTAAATGGTAGATGCTTGTGGTGTCAATCTGTGTTTTGGATGAACATGACATCCATCTGCGAACAATTTTACTCAATGAAATTTAGTTAATGACATTTTATGGCAATTAAAATTAGTTAAAATTCATAAACAGTACAACCGGTAATATATTGGTCATTGTAACTAGACATGAACACTTGGCAAAACGAACCATGACTCACTGTTCTGTTTACAGAAAGCTGACGTGGCATTGACTGAAGTTTAGAGGTATTGATGCGGCTTAGCTGGAATAAACGGTGTCGTTTGGACACAACATATATCATCAATTTTTGTTGCATTATTGTTCAATTTCAGAGAACCCTAATTCCCTTCTCATCTCTTCTTCAAATTCACTGCAACAATGTCGTGTGATTCAAGCGATACTCGGCGTGTATTGTGTTTCCATGGATTCACCGCAGTTGTGTTAACTTCAAACACAAAGAAAAATCCATCACGACGATATCACCGATGTCCCCTTCGAAATGTAAGCTTAGGCGATTTCGAAAATATCATCTTTTCAAAATGGTGTCGATATGCTTGCATATGAAAGTATGGTTATGCGGAAGTGGTCCTTTGAATTTGTCAAATTTTGAAGATTTTGTTGTCGAAAATAAGGCTATTTGATTTGGTGGATTTTTGTAATATTGTTGATTTTGCATTTGAAAATTAGGGCATTTGACTCGGACTTGTTCTATTTGTAGAGAGGTATTTCAAATTGTTTGTTGACATAATATGGTATTCTCAAACTAGAAGCTTGAGGATGACTGGGGAATGAGCTCTACAGAAGAAGAGTTGGAAAATGAGGGAGAAGAGGTCACAGAGATAGAGGAGCGAACAAGGAAAAGAATCTTCATCTGCAGTGGTACCTAAACCAAGAGACTGTGGACAGATGTCGAAAAATTATAGAAATGCGCAAACTTTCGAGCCCTGTACGCCATTCTGATGGCTGTCGGCCAGAGACGACAAAAGATGATAGTTCAGTGTAAAACAACGAAGGATGCATGGCGTGTGCTAGAGCGCCAGTTTGAAGGTTCAACGACAGTAAAGGCGTCCAGACTTCAACGAGTGACCATAGCATTTTATGAGATCAAAATGAAAGATGACGAGACCATTGACATTTATTTTGTGTAACGCCCCCACTTTGATTTTAAAGAAATTTCGGACTTTCCAAAAATCAGTAAAACATTTTTCGAAATCATTTTCGAAATTATGGGCATTATTCACAACATTCACATAGTCCAAGTTTTATCTGGACCCACCGGGATTCATAAACCCAGTTTTCACAAGGTTTTCATTAACCCATTTCACAACAACTCACAAGATATTCAACTTAATCATAACAGCATGAATAATCAAAATAACATGATATTCAATAAAACACGCACCATGAATATCCAAATTCAACAATCCAAAGCATACGTTCGAAACAGTTCAACATGTTTCATAAATCATGAGTTCATAAAATGCGGAAGCAAAAATAAATAACTAATGACCACCCACTCGTCTTGCCTCGTCATCCGCCACCTGCTTAACCTGCATCCGTGAAGAGACTGGTGGGAGTGAGCACAAATGGAAACCGTAGTGCTCACCACTATGCACATAAACAATAAAATGTTAAGATAGTATGGTCGCATTATGAATGTAAATCAATCATCATCAAGTTCGATTAAGTATGATTTGTGTTTTCCTTCTAAGGTCAAGATAAGTGTTGATTGTAGTATCTTGACTTATTGTAGGTGTTTGAGGAGTCAAGCCTCGACCTACGTCACTACTTGTTGTGTCTTTGCCATTCCGAAATACCAGGTGGGTTTGTTATTCTAATATTCTCTATGCCATTCCGAATCAATGTATGTATGTGAACCATGTGGCCTACCAATGTGAGCTGTTACAGCCGTCGGTACGGTTGTCCCCGTTGAGTTACGGTACGGTTTCCCTTGCGAGGCAAAATCTCCTTAAGACCTAATGAAAGGCCGTGTCGTTACGTGGCACGCACTCCCGTCGTTAGGGTTTATGCATCCTCTTTCCGCGGCTAATGATAGATGTGCACATGAGTGAGTTATTGTTATATTATTGATAGGAGATTAGACATGATGATGAGTTGTTTGTGGAGTCCTGTGGACATTGGAACACTTGGACCTATCACTTAGTCGAACTTGTATATATGTTGCTCCTTGTTACTTGTCTTGGTCATCCCTTATTTGAATTTATGTCTATCAACCGCAAAGAGATACGGTTCAAGCCGTCGATACCGTTCTCGGGAAAGATGCTCGAAAACGGGACGAAAGAGGGCTGACGGGGACGACGGCAACTCACGGCGGCGCCTCGGCAGCTCACGGGGGAGCAGCGACTTGAGGAGGAGCAGCGGCTCGCGGAGGAGTAGCAACGCACGAGGACGGTGATCGCCGAGGCTTCTATGCGTGAACAGGGGTTCACCGATGTTGATCGTCGGTTGCTCGCGGAGGGAAGGACTCGCCGGAGTTGCAGGCCTGCCGGTGGCTTCTGCACGAGCGGGGAACGATGTTCGAGGGTTCGCGAGCGGACAACAGCTGAGCACCTGAGGTTCAACGTGACGGCTTTAGCAGTGGCAGGGACTTCGCGAGGGCCGACGACCGACGAGCGATCGGTGAGAGAGAGTGATGGATGGATGGCTCGGGCTTTTAAACGAGAGGGAGATGAGAGATAGATGAGGGAGGGCGATCAAATATGAGAAGAGACTGCGGAAAAATATGAGGGTGAGAGAAGAGTGTGTATGGTTTTAATAGGCTAGGGATTATTTCTTGGCACACAAGAAATACGCACACACACACACGAGAGAGAGGGGCGAGCCGAGGTGGGTCGGCATGGGAGCCAGTTTGGCTGGGGCGCGGGTAAATGGGCGCGCGGATCGGGTCTCTCGGTTCTTACGGGCTCGACTTAGCCATATTAAACTAGATTCGATCGCGCGATAATTAAAATAAAACCGGAATATTTATATGTATATGATACACACATTATTTAATTAATAATAATAAGCAATTAGACAATTAATGACAATTAGAGATTTAATAATAATAATAATAATAATAATAATAATAACAATAATAAATAATCCTAAATAATTCATAAACAAACGGGGCATTACATTTTGTGATCTGGTAAATCAGAGTGAAATGCTTGAAGAGGAGATATCTGAAAATCACCAAGTTCAGAAGATCATGCAGACGGTTGCACCTCGATTCAAAGAAAAGATCACAGCTCTTGAGAGCTTTCAAATAATCAAGCCACTGGATGTTGATGATCTCCTGGGAGATCTTAGAATGTTCGAGATTAACAATGACTATGATAAAGTCAAGAACAAAGATCTTGCACTTAAAGCAGCCGTGACGTCACAGAAAGAGGAAAGTGATGATGATGAAGGTTCACTTGAGGATAACAACGAATTAAAGGAAGCCGTGGCAATGATTGCCAACAAATATGGTAAAATGAGTCAATAGCTGTACAAAAGCAATCAAACATGCCTGCCTCAAAGTCGGACACTTAAATGATAGAAAAGGATCAATGTTGAGAGTGCCGAGGGTACGATCATTTTCAATATGAGTGTGTCAATCTAAAAAAGAAGAATAAGTCCCTAAAAGCAGCCTGGGAGAACTCAGATGATGATGAATCTGAGGAACCTTCATCCCATACGAGCAACATGGCAATTCACTCCATTGTGAGCAAGTTCATATGTCTAGCCACCTCTCATGTCCCTACCAAATTTGAAGAAAGCATGAATGAGTCTGATGGCTCTGAAGATGAAGAGGATCAAAAGATGTGTATGGATCCAGTACATTTGTTGGCCATGAAAAAATGTTCTCAAGCGGCTGAAGTGATGAAGAAACTTCGTAGTGAGATCAAGGTCCTTAAAAATAAGATCTGAACACATAATCCGTCTGAAGAAGTGGAAATACTGAGGAACGAAGCACGAAGGTTGATGGAAATCAATGGAAAATTGTCTTCTTCTACCATTCATCAGAAGGAAAGTGAATGAGATGCAGTCAAAGCTCGAATTTCGATTCTTGAAAATGGGCTCAAATTATCCAAGCAGGGATGTACGGAGAAGACTCAGGCTATTGAAGTCCTGAGAACTGAATTGTTCTCCACTTGGAAAATGCTTGGTGAAAAAGACAGTGAAGTTAGAAATCTCAAGAAGGAAGTCGCTTGGATAATGAAGGAACATGCATATCTGAAGGAGAAACTAAACCATTCCAATGTAAACTTGAAAACTAAGTCGACAGAGCTTGAAAGAACTACGGAAGCTCTGAGGAAATTGAACAAAGGAAGAGCAGATCTGAATGAGCTTCGCATCATAGAAAAACAATATGGTGATATTACCGGGATGGGATACACCGGAAAAGCTGAAAGTCTGCAAGGTTCATCTGATGTGTCAACCAAAAGCGAACATATAGGATTGGGTTCTCTAGTAAGTCAGGTATTGGATGTTCAAGTGCTCGTGGTAAACCCTCTCGTGATCTTTACTCCAAGTTTGTTAAAAAGCACTGTAAGTAAAACTTCTTCCTCAGAAAGTAACATGCAAGTTCATGAGGATGTAAGTAAATCTGAGAGTAAGCCATTGCATAACTTTGGTCCTATTTGTCATTATTGCGGTATAACTGGTTACATCAGACCTAAATGTTACAAAATGTAACATGATCTCTGCAAAGGGAAATTGTCAAGCTGGAACCTTCGTGGTGTTCCAGTGAAGATACATAAGACCAGTGTTCAAAAAAAAATTGCGAAACATCAACAAGTATGGGTTGTAAAAAGTTCTCATAAATGTTTTGCATTTGTTTGTCCTTTAAATATTCACTTGAAGGTAAATGGTACCTGGATAGTGGATGCTCGAGGCATATGACCGGTGAACTTGCATACTTATCTAATGTTAAAACTGGGTTCAATGGTGAAGTAACATTTGGAAATGGTGTGGGTAATAAAGTCATTGGAACTGGTTGTTTGAATTTGGGAGGTTTACCGAAGTTAAATGATGTCTTGCTTGTACATAAATTGAAAGCAAACCTTCTAAGTGTGAGTCAAAT